TTTTTTATTTATTTTTTTGAGACAGAGTCATGTTATGTCACCCTCAGTAGAGTGCTGTGGTGTCACAGCTGACAGCAACCTCAAACTCTTGGGCTTAAGGAATTCTCTTGCCTCAGCCTCCCAAATAGCTAGGACTATAGGTGCCTGCCACAACGCCCAGCTATTTTTTTTGTTGTAATTGTCATTGTTGTTTGGCAGGCCCAGGCTAGGTTCGAACCCGCCAGCTCCAGTGTATGTGGCTGGTGCCCTAGCTGTTGAGCTACAGATGCTGAGCCAATATAATGGTTTTTAAAACACAGACGTGTATGAACCGCACCCCAGGTATCCTGACTCAGTAGGTCTGGTTTGGGGCTTATGCTTCAGTGATTCTAGGACCCTGCATGAATTGAGAGCTGCTAAATCTGACAGTATTAATTCTTTGGACAGAGATTTTTTTTTTCTTTTTTGAGACAGGGCCTCTAGTTCTGTCACCCAGGATAGAATGTAGTGGTGTTATTACAGCTCACCATAACCTCAAACTCCTGGGCTCAGGCGATCCTCCAGCCTCTTCCTCCTGAGTAGCAGGGGCTACAGACACGCATCATTACCACAGCTGGTTAATTTTTCTTTTATTTTGTAGAGATGGGGTCAGGCTATGTTGCCCACCTTGGTTTTCCAAAGTGCTGGGATTACAGGCATGAGTCACCACGCTCAGCCAAGAATTGTGTTTTGATCATCTCTTTGTGCCCTGCACAAGGTCAGGCTTCAGAAAGGGGTTGTGAAGTTGAACTTTTAGGTCAGCCTGTCCCACAATTCCAGTCGTACTTCTTTGTTTTACTGCTTAGTCTCTTACACAGTTTCCATCAGCAACAGAGCTGAAAAGCACTGTGGCTTCTGAGAAGCTTGAGGGATGTTCCTGGGTTCCTGGGGCTGCCGATCCCTAAAGAAGCAGTTTTCTCTGATCCATCTGGGACAGCTGTGCTGCAGTCTTGTGCCACTTGCTCCTAAGCCACTGGCCTGGAGGAGCTGGCAAATGCTCTGCGCCACCCTGGGGCAGAATTTATAACATAAATCTGTGTCTGCCGTCTTCTCTGTGTGTTGGTTCAAAAGATTTATGTGAAATACAGGACGCTCACCTAGTTGATGAGATGTATTTCCTACCTAGCGAGGTCCACAGAGGCAGAGAAGTGAGGACTGCGCTTCCTCACATGGGTGGAGACTAGATTCAGGGGACACCTTAGTCATTCTGGTAAGGCTGGAAGCTCCTTGGTTTCCCAGGGCCCATCAGGGGGTGGAATATGATCCAACACGAACTAGTGAGTGTGGGAATCAGCCAACACAGTGCTAGTGAGGCAGTGAGCATGACACAGCCCCAGGGCTGACTCAGCAACTGTGTATAATTCCACAGCAGAAGCAACGTGTCCCTCTTTGGCCTTAACAGTGACACCCCAGAGTCTGAGGGCTACTCTGCAGAGCCCCGAGGACCTGAGGATTGGCCTGGCCTGCTTGGGGCAATTTTTCAAAGATCCTATGGCTACCATGTGCTGGAGACATGCTGAAGAAAGTCTGGGTTTCCATAGCCATAGTTGATTTATTTTATATATATGTCTGTGTGTGTGTGTGTATGTATGTGTATATGCATACTTTTTTTTTTGAGACAGCATTTCACTTTGTTGCCCTGGGTAGTGCCATAGTATCATAGCTCACAGCAACTTCAAACTCTCAGGCTCAAAAGATCCTCTTGCCTCAGCCTCCAAAGTAGCTGGGACTACAGGTGCCTGCCACCATGCTTGGCTAGTTTTTCTATTATTTTTTAGTAGAGACAGGGTTCTACTCTTGCTCAGGCTGGTCTGGAACTCCTGAGCTCAAGCAATCCACCTGCCTTGGCCTTCCAAAGTGCTAGGATTATAGGCATGAGTCACCATGTCCAGCCTTTTCTTTTTTTGAGACAGAGTCTTACTGAGTCACCAAGGCTAGAGTGCCATGGTGTCAGGACTCACAGCAACCTCAAACTCTTGGACCAAGTGATCCCCTTGCCTCCTTCCTTCCAGATTCACTTTTGCACTGTCAGCGTGGCCTTTTATATTCCTTCCAGCAAGGGTCTGGCCTGCTGCCTCTCAACTTCTGCATGTCTGAAATTGTGCATCTTTTGCCTTCATTCCTTTTTTTTTTTTTTTTTTGTAGTTTTTGTAGCTTGAACCCGCCACCCGTGGTATATGGGGCTGGCGCCCTACTCTTTTGAGCCACAGGCGTTGCCC